TATGCCTTGCTGGAGCCTGCCTCTACCGCGAAGAACTAGTTGGGATGATATTCGAGGATAACATGGGGCTAGTTCGTTGACAGAGTAGGTTAGGGAGAGGGACTAAAATGTCGCTGGTTCTGTGTACAAAACCCCTGACACAAAAGAAGTTGCCAACTAAATTCTTTTGGTCCCTAGATTGCGATAGCATAGCAGTTTTTTGATAGTCGTTTAACTTCAGCTTCCCACAGACCTGGTTATAGGAGATGTTTGTCCCGTTGTGTCTTGGGGGTGGAGGCAATAGAATGGCGACTAGTAACACCCTAGGGATACTGGGATACCGACAAAGACAAAGGAGACCAGAATGACAACTTCTGACTTATTAGCGATCAGCAGTCAGTCATGTTCCGCCCCAGGTTTGGATCGCCTTTGTTGGTACCATCCCATTTGCCTGTACCAGTAGTCGCTTTGTGACTGCCTTGGAAGGCTCTATAATAAGCCTCAAGGCACAACGGCTCCCGTGATTTAATTGTAGAGCGTTACACCCAATGACCAAATGTCCCGGGCTCGAATCACAGATAATCTCCCGCTGACACTGCTTAGTAAGCCAGTGGTGCCCATTACGGTCTACATAATCTTTGTTGGTACCACCTTAAGTGCTGATTAATTTTTCCTGTTGGCCAAAATTGTTTTAAGTGAATGCACACCTGTTGAAAAACGCCTAGGCAATTGTAAAGTACTTTGCTGTTTCATTTGCAGCACTAAAGCTTTCAGTAACTATCTCGATTAGGCGAAGAAAATTGCTGCTGTCTCAAACAGTCGACTTGGCAGCCACGGACTCGCGGAGGAGACGTCCAAATGGAAAGTAACAGAGCCAAGGACCTGGTAGAGGCTCAACATAACATGTGTTGCACGTTCAATTTAACAAATTGAATGGCTGCAGGTCTCAAAACCAAACGTGTTGAAGGGTAGTAAAAAAATGGATACGCAGTGACTATTTTGCTTTAATGCAATTCCTTGAACCATTTTATCGCTATCACCTATTTTCGCTTGGTTGCGCATGTGAGCGACATGAGGAGAACTGTCTTCGCCAAAAGAGGGCTTATGCTTCCCCGCCTCTACAATCCGGACTTAAATGTTACTTTCCGTCTACGGGTGCCAAGCCCTTACGAGAGAGAGAGAGGAATACGCTTTATTTTTTAAGGTGGCATTCGAATTTTTCAGAAAAAATGGCTGCATTAACCGAGATCAAGGGATAAATTAACAAAATACTCAGAAACCTAGAGATTTACATGAAATGGACATCAACCATGGAGACAGGTCTAATCTCAGCATCTAGATTTCTGTTTCTCTACATGTGACGTAGTGTGCTGGGAATGGAAGTACATAGTGCTGATTTGCCGATGGACGGCAGGACATATGTCGGAAGCCTCGGCGCATATTTCGGGAAGACTTTACAGCTATTAACTCAGAGTGGAGTGGATGGGTAACCTCTGGAAACTATCAGTTGTTCGGCCATAAAACTTGCTCTGGCCGAAATAAAGGCAAGTTCTCGTAAATCTTACCGCTATCGAGCTTCAGCCCTGAACCAATCTTTGGTGCTACCATTCGGACTATTAGTAATGAGGTAACATTTAAAATGTCCCTGTGCTCATAACTGTCTAACTCTAGAGAAACCCTTGTCTGAAAATAGGCACTCACGTCCCAGATGCATGCCTATACACCCAACTGCCGCCCGCTTTTTGATGTCTGACAGATAGACATAAAAAATCACGAAATTCAGTGCCGCTACCAGCAAAAGTATGGGCATTAATCAAGATGATGGGCCTCATTGTTGCGTTGATTTATTTAAAAGAGTATAGTAGCCATTTGCGAACAGTGATTTGCGAGATTTGAAAGTCTGAACAGTTTCATCGCCTAAACATTATACCTAAACAATGGGTTGACTGAAATAACAAAACGACCCCTCAGACGTGTAAATGCGCCCGACATGTTAACCTGAAAACATGCATTTAGGACTAATCCATTGGAGGACGTAGCTAAGTATTAAAGTTTAAACAGTCGGCTTTTTTACGCAATCGTCGTCCTCAGTGTTTTTGAAACTACGACTAAAAAGCGAAGTTGTCTCTGCGGTTTTGCAAAAACGACTTTAATAACTTTATTTTAAAATGAGCTTTTGGTTTTGATTCCTAGGGTCATTGAATCAGCACTTTAGAAGCTTTACATTTTCAGCAGAATATTTTGCTAGAAATAGTTTGAGGAAATATAATAAGACTTAATTAAATAGCAAAAATCTACGCGAGTCAGCATTAATAATACTAGCTGCTAATTGTAGAATTGTAATTCCGATATCTTCTGTAATCTTGCTGCTGTCTGGACCAAAAAACAGCTACGAATGTTAAGAATTTGAGTGAAAATATCTCTTTTAAATACACAGAGCATCAAAGAATTTTTGACAGATTTCGCCAATAGTCTTTTAGGTGCTGGTCAGGGTGCTGCTTCTTTGCCTAAAAAACTTACCAAAAGGCATTCGTATTTATCTCAATTTCCTATAAGCTCAAGTCTTAAAGCGGACATTTATGCACTAGATTTTGTAAGGTATAAGTTTTGGAGCGCGTCTTTTGTTAAGTTGGAAATAATACTCATGTGGGATTATTGACAGCCTTTCAATGTCATCAGTTCGAAAATCAATAGTTGCTATTCAGTCACCAGAAGTGTGCAAATGTCATTCTAAGTGCTTTAGTTGACAACAGTAAAAGAGTGGTGGAAGATCTTCACTTACCATTTTTCCGATCATAATCAGCTTCGGTCCGAGGGCGATGTGAAAACTGAAGGTGTACATGAGGCGGATGTAGAAGACGAAAAGACTGAAAGCCATACAGATCCTCGAGGGCACCGTTATATTATCCGTGAGTATGATATACGCCTCCATTTGTTTACTCATGTTGGGTTCACTGCCAAACTTACTCAACACCATGAGCCGTAATATGAAGCCAACTATATACAATATGAGTCCAGCACAGTCTAGTTTATTCCAGCCGTCGGAGATGTACGTTGAGAAACTGATGCCTGAGAGGACAGCCTGGTAAGAAAAATGGAATCAAGACCGGAATAATTATTTTCCCCCCGGCTGCATCGCT